GATGGATAGTAAGAACCTTTGTCTTTAGAAATGCAATTTCAATGACAGTTGACAAAAGCAGTTGTGAGTGAGCACCTGCTTAGGCAAGACCACCTTATCTAGGGTCTTCATCCTCTCCCACAGACTGCCCTGCAGTGATGTATTAAAAAGAAATAGTTATTCAGATTGGGTCATGATCTCAGGGTCCTGAGCTTGAGTCCTGCACTGGGCTCCTTGCTCAGCAGGGAGTCTGCTTCTCCCTCTCCCTCTGTTCATGTTCTCTCTCAAGTGAATAAATAAAATCTAAAAAAATAAAAATAAATGGTAAAATGCAGAGGATTGTTTTGGTGTTGGAACTTGGCTGAGTTTCTGGGCTTTCATGGCCAAGGAAGCTATTTCCTGGACAAGAGGAAAGATGGTAGCAAGAGCTGCCTTAACAGCCTTGTATAAACTTGATTCTGAAAAAACGTCTGGAACTTTTTTTACAGATTGGTCAGAAATTTGAGAAAATACACTCATTGTGGCAGTGTTTTTTGTTTTGTTTTGTCATTAGGCTAAGCAAGCAATTCTCTGTGGGGGCTATAAAAGCTACCATGGTCAAATTCTATAGAAACACCAACCAGAATAGAGGTTATTCAGAAAAGACAAATCTATAGAGATAAAAAAGTAGATTAGTACTTGCCTGGGCATGGGGTTGGGAAAACAGATTGACTACAAAGAAGCTCTTGAGATCTTTTTGGTGTTGGAAACATTCCAAGATCAGATTGTGGCAATAGCTGCATAAGTCTGTAAATGTACTAAAAATCATTCATTAAAGTGTACACTTAAAATGGGTGAATTTTATAACATATATACTAAAAAGCTCCTAAATGTACACACGCGTATACACACACACACACACTCACACCAAAGATCCCAGAATGGCACAGAATTTAAGCAATTTTGTTTCTAAAATAGGAATGGAAGAAGTTTTGACTGTCCAGAACAAGATACAGGCCTCCACATTGCCAATTATTTTGAAATGTCATTGAAAAAGATGCTCCTACTTGGAATCCTGTTTGAATTCATGAGGGAGAAAAAACCACAGTACAAGGATGTATATTGTGTGCAAAAGGGGAAGGTTTGTAAATGGGCCCTACGTCCAAGATTATTAATACCTGGAGCAAATGCTTCATAACCTAAACACTGAAGATACTAATAACTTTATGACTTATCGTTTGTGTTTCTTGTTAACTCGGGAGTGAAGTAATATAATCACACACTGCCTAAGATTTAATTATAATGACAACTATTAATAATACCATGTAGTAGTGTGTGTGTGTGCAATTTCCCTTCAGTTTTATTCAAGTTAATAAATCAATGAAATCATATTTAAATTTGCTTGATTCTTGGGTAATTCACTTTCTTCTCATTTTTTTTTAATTTTTTTATTTATTTATGATAGTCACAGAGAGAGAGAGAGAGAGAGAGAGGCAGAGACATAGGCAGAGGGAGAAGCAGGCTCCATGCCCTGGGAGCCTGATGTGGGATTCGATCCCGGGTCTCCAGGATCGCGCCCTGGGCCAAAGGCAGGCGCCAAACCGCTGCGCCACCCAGGGATCCCCTCTTCTCATTTTTCCACTTGATTTTTACTCTGCAGAATCTTGATGTTTCAGTAAATCTTCCAAGTTAAAACCATTGACTCAACATTTTCCCCCCTAAGAATAAGAATACTGATAATGAATAGGAGATTAGATTATGGAGCAAAATGTCTGAGTTTGTGATAACCGTGTTTTTTGGCTCATCAATTTAATGCAGATGGTTTTGAAGACTAATAAATGTCTGTTCTTTTGTTCTAAATAGCAAAATGAAAAGGTTGAGTAATCAAAATTTATTGAAATTAGTGTAGTCTATCTCTTTGAATGCAATAGTAGATTATTTTGAGAAAAAACACTGCAGATATGTTGCGGAAAATGAATACATTTTTGTGTATTTAAAATTCTCCACTGTTTTACGTTAAACTGAATGATTTTTGAGGGAACTTCCAAAAGAAATACTTTATAATTCTATACCATGGTTGACATTCAACACTCATTACAACTTTATAGCATGGCATATATTCAACACTCAATTGCATTTCCTTGCTGTCTTGCACATGAAGTATATTCTTGCCTCAGGGCCTTTGCACTTGTTATTCTCTCTGCCTGACAGATCATTCCCTAGATGGTTATGACCTACTGCTGCATTTAAGTCCCTGCTCAAATATCACTTCCTCAGAGAAGCCTTCCCTGATTAGCCCATCTTAAAATAGCAGGCTGTTACTATCCCTTTAGCCTGCTTTCTTTTCTTCGTAGCACTTAACCACTGTCTGACCTTACATGCTTACCTTACCCACTAGAATGTAAGGTCCATGAAGGAAGGGACCTCATCAGTATTGTTCATTGCCATATCCCCAACAATGGTACATATTTGCTGAAATTAATAAACTGCAATTTGACTTTAAATATTTACCTCTTTTTTCCTTCCTAGCCAGACAGTAAATTAATGGCAGCCAGCCAAAGACCCTGGTTGCTTATTTATCCTCTCTAAAGCAATAGCTCAGCTCTGCATCAATGGTAGACATTCAGCCACGATTTACTGAATGAATGCTCTGAAACATGGGTGTGTTATGGGGCTAACTAGTCAGCATTCCCTGCAGGTGAACAAACTAATATCTTCCCTCTCAGCCCACATTTCACAAAGTTCTTTTATTTATATCAACTCATTTGATAATTTTGCCAATACTTTAGTAATTTTTAAGGTTTGCCTGAACAAATGGGCTCTCCAATATAACAAATGTTAATTTCTGGCATGAACTATTACTAACTTTGAATACTTTTTTTTTTGGCTTAGTTATCAGTGGCATGTAATGTGTTCTTTGATATCTGAAAAAATATTTTTAAAGACTGAATAATATTTAAAATAAAAAAGGCTATCTTGACACATAGCATGTGCAGGGACAGAGTTTTGGAAATGTTTTAACAAAGTCTTTTTGGAGATTGTTTCTAGATGGTGGGACTTTGATAATGTTTACTTTTTTTTCAGCTTTCCAATTTTCTTGTTTGATTTTTTTTTTTTTTTTTTTTTTTTTAAGTAGGCTCCATGCCCAGCATAGAACCCAACACACGGTTGAACTCTCAGGATCCTGAGATCAAGATCTGAGCTGAGATCAAGTGCTGGATGCTTAATCCACTTAGCCACCAGGCGAACCTCTTGTTTGAATTTTAAAACAAGTTTGAAGTTTGTCAGAATAAACCTTTTCCTTTTTTTTTTTCTTTAATTTTTAGGTATCTCTACACCCAACCAGGGGCTCAAACTCATAACCTCCAGATCAAGAGTCCGAGGCTCCACCAACTGAACCAGCCACGCGCCCCCAAAAGCAACCTGTTTCTATACAATGCTTTATTTTTGTATAATTTGTCAGTGTAAATAGCCTGAAGAATACCACTACTCATTTTCCTGGCTTGGTAATTCTCATATGGATCAAATTGCATTCTGAGAACACTTTTAATACTGACTTGTAGAAAATCACCAAATAGGATGAACCAAAATTCTTTAGGGTTTTTTAGGGTGTGTTTTCCTATTTATGGCCATGTTCTTCTCTGAGCAAGAAAAACTGTAGAGCAATGCTTTGTAATTTGACCAATATTTCTTTCGTCTTTGCCAAAAAACCCCAAACTTTCCGGAATATCGAGCTCCTTCCTAAAACGGCCCCAATAGGGCATCAGGGACTCCTTCTGGACTTTGGACCAACCTCAGAGGGCACGCAGGAAACGAGCTCACTCTTATTTTTTCTCTTTAGGATTTAAAATACTTAAAATTCCCCTTTCCTTGTCGTTGTTAATCACAGGGATTGGGAAGACAGGCAAATAACCACTCTGGGAAATCTCGACTGATGCCAACGATACGGTCCTCGTTTTGAGGCTTAAAGGGTCTGGGGTTTTCTGGAATTCGGAGTGGAGGAGACCCGCCCGTGGCTGCCGGGGCACCTGGAGGCGAGACGATTCCCTGCACGGCCAGCAGCCGGTGGGGCCGCGGCGTCTGCACCTGCGCGCGCCTAGAGCAGGTTCCGGGCCGGGGAAGGTGGTTCCGAGCCGCGGGCTCACACGCCCCACGAGGACGCGCGTCCGGCCGCGCGGGCGGCGCAGGGGCCCCGGGTCTGGGGGCGGGGGCCGGGGCCGGGGCGGCGGGGGCGGGGGCCGGGGCGGCGGGGGCGCCCGCGCAGCCCGTGTCCACGCAGCGTCGGGGCCGCGGGCCGCAGCTGGCCCGAGGCGGGCTCGGAGCGGAGATCTCGGGAGGGGTCGCGAGAACCGAGGGCTCCCCGCGGCCGCCGGGTGGAGGGGGGCAGGGCGTGCGGCGGCGGCGGCGGCGGCGGCGCCTCCCACAATCCATTCGGTGCGGAGCCGCCGTCCGTCCGTCCGTCCGTCCGGCCGGGCCCGCTTTCAGCGACCGGGAAGCCCAGCCCGGGGCCGGCGCGCGCGTCGGGGGCGCCTGGACGTCAGGTACATGCAGCCTCTTCGGGCGGCGCGGGGACAGTTGGGTCGGGCGGTTGCGGCCCCCGCCGCCCCGCACCTCGGCCTCTGTGACGCACGGCGCGGCTGCCGGGGCCGACCGGGCGGCGCGGCGCGGCGCGGCGGGGGCGGGGCGAGCGCGGGGGCGGGGCGAGCGCGGGGGCGGGGCGAGCGGCGGAGGCCCCGCCCCGGGGCCGGAGGAGCGAGGACGCTACGGAGCAGGCGCGTCCCGCCGCCGCCGCCGCCGCCGCCGCCGCCGCCGCCGCTGCCGCTGCCCCCGCCGCCGCCGCCGCCGCCGCCGCCGCCGCCGCCAGCGCCGCCGCCGCCCCCGCCGCTGCCCCCGCCGCTGCCCCCGCCGCCACCCGCGCTGCCGCCGCTGCCGCCGCTCGCCCTCTACTCCGGAGCCGCCGCCGCCGCCGCCGCCGCCATTTGCACGGGGACCCCAGTGACAGGGGCTCGGCGGAGGGGCGGAGGGAGGGGGGGAGGGCCCGCGGAGCCCCCGAGGGCGGGAGCGACGCCGCCGGCGCCGGCCGGGCTCCCTGCGCGACCGCGCCGCCCGCGGCGGGCCCCAGCAGCAGTAGCAGCGGCGGCAGCGGCGGCGGCAGCAGCAGCAGCACAAGCAGCAGCAGCAGCCTCCGAGGCCGGGCGTGCGCCTGAGGCGCGGCGGCGGCGGCGGCCCTGCGGGCGGCCGGGAGGGGCGGGGGCAGCGGCCGCCGCCGTTTGATGGATCCGAGGATCGCCTGGTTCCAGCCAGAGCAGCTCGGACCGTCCAACAGTCTGTGGATGCAGATCTGGGAGACGACCCAGGGGCTGAGGAACCTCTACTTCAACCACCACTGTCACAGCAGCGGCGGCGCGAGCGGCGGCGGCGGCGGCAGCAGCAGCACGGCCACCGGCGGGAGCGGCAGCAGCACCGGCAGCCCCAGCGGCGCGGCCCGGCCCCGGCCCCGGCCCCGGCCCGCCCGGCCCCGGCCCCGGCCGGCATGTACCGCTCCGGGGAGCGCCTGCTGGGCGGCCACGCGCCGTCGGCGGAGCAGCGGGACTTCCTGCCCCTGGAGACGACCAACAACAACAACAACCACCACCAGCCCGCGGCCTGGGCCCGCCGGGCTGCCGCGGGCCCCTCGGCGTCCCCGTCCCCGTCCCCGTCCCCGTCCGCGTCCCCGTCCCCGTCCCCACACTCCGCCGCCGCCGTCCCCGCCGTGGAGCCCGCGGACCCGGCCTCGGGCAGCAGCAATAAGCGGAAGCGCGACAATAAGGCCAGCACCTACGGACTCAACTACAGCCTGCTGCAGCCCGGCGGAGGGCGGGCCGCGGGGGGCGGCCGGGCCGACGGCAGCGGGGGCGTGTACAGCGGGACCCCGTGGAAGCGGAGGAACTACAACCAGGGAGTCGTGGGGTGAGTGCTGGCCCTGCGGCCTGGCGGCCTGGCGGCCTGGCCCTTGCACACGCGCAGCCGGGCACACGCCCACAGACGGTGGCTTGGGGGGAGCCTGGGCGAGGCCGCCCCCCGCCGGCCTGCCTTGGTTGCTCCCCGGGGGCTGATGCCCGTTCCTCCAGTCCTGCGTCGCTCCACCATCCACACCTTCCGCCTCTCCTCCTTAGCGATCCACACCTTTCCCCCTCCCCCTCAGCCTTCCAGGCCTTTTCTGGACATTCCCTCAACCATCCACATCCTCCCCTCCCCTCCCTTAGTCATCCACACTCTGCCCCCTTAACAGTCCACACCTTTCCCGGCCCCCCACCCCCACCCGCACCCCATCCATCTACTCTTTCCTCCCATCCCCCCTCCCCCAATCAAACACGCCTTCCCCAGGCTTCCCCCCCCTCCAGCCCTCCGCATCAGCACACTCCAAGATGAAGTCTGTTAGCACAGGCAGATCATTGATTCCCTGAGAACATTCCTGTGTTAGTGCCTTTTGATGGTACAGGACCTGGAGGTGCGTTCCCTGCCAAGAATAGAAACATCCAGAAAGCTCCTCCTCCTCCCCCTCCCCCTCCCCCAATCCCAAACAGGAATCCTGTCAACCCTGTAAGGTTTTGCCTGCTGTTAACCCTTTTGCCCGTCGTCTTTTAATTTTTTATTTAAAGATTTTTTTTTTCCTGTATTAGCGATGCCTTTTTTCTGTGGGTGAAAAATGGGGTGACAGCTGAGTTTAGGCTGGTGGAGATGGTGAGCTCTTCTGAGGCTGATAGAACTTTCTAGGAGTTCACGGTCCTCGGCTCCAGCTTCTCACTGTAAAGTTGTCATTCTGGCAGACACAGCCAGTGCTTTTCGTTCTAGGGGGTAACTTCACGCTAACGAGTGAATGTTGCACCATTAATGAGTTTCTGGTTAAAGTTCAGCTGTTACAAAATGGAATCTTAGTTGACCCCTAGTGAACTATGTACATAAGCAGGGAATGTTTCCAGCTAGATTTCCCTTCTAGAAGAGCCCCCCTGTGCTGGAATAGGTTACTGAGTCTTTTTTTATTTTTTTGTAAAATAAAAAACCGTATGTGTATGTATGTATGTATGTATGTATGTATGTGTATGTCTGTGTGTGTTTAGCTTGAGTATGGAGAATGAGCTTTCAAATTGTTTTTCATTTTCCAGATCCTGTTTTACATTGGGGGCTACAGTAGGCAAATGTAATACCATTAGTAAGCCTTTGTGAAACATTTTCTTAGATTCACCCATTCAGATCTGCCCTGCTTTGGCAAGCACAGATAGTTCTGTGTACCTTTTTGGAGGTCTGGGTAAAATGAGTTGGTGGGTTCCATCTGCTTCTAGTGGGCTGGTGTCTGCTATATGCTACTATTACAACTCCCACCTTTTATGGAAAATGCAGTCAGGCGTTTCAGGACTGGCACTGGGTTACATGTCAAACCTGTCCTCGCTTTCCAGAGGGGAACCTTTTAGGGTTGAGTCCTCTGTTGCTAAGCTTCAAGGGCGCTCTCCATGGTCATCACGTTTTAATAAAAGACTCATGGGTTCCATCCTGTTAGCATTTCCAAGATGAAGCATAAAGCGGTGGTTTAGCGACAAGCAAATTGATATTTAAAGGTTCTGGTAGTTTCATTTCACAGAAATAAGCTCCAGTTAAGTAATCACTGTCAACTAAAACCTTGAAGTTCTCTAGTTTCGTTTTACTGAAGCTTCTGCATGTGTGTCTGGCAAAGAGAGGTGATAAATCCCAAATAGTGGCTGCTTTTCTTTTTGACAGATAAGAAATTATTTTCTCCTCTACTTGCTATTTCATGATAGGGATGCCGTAAAAGGTTCATATTTGAACTCCGATAGAGTCAGGATGTTCTTATTCCCGATTCAAATATATTGCCCTCAGAAGGGATTAGGGAGAGGAATTTCCATTTCCCAGCAGGATTACTGTTTAAAAACTGATTGTAAACCTGTTTTTAAAACTGTTTATCACTTCATAAGACTTTTCATTCTTTTGCCTTTTCCTTTAGAGGCTGTCAGTAGCAAAATTTCCTGTGTTATTAAGCAGTTCCTAACTTTTCGTAAGAGTGTCTGGGTGTTTAAAAATTCGTGTTTTGATTTATGGATCCTTATGTCTTGACTTTTACAGAAGTTTTGCTATTTTTAGTACAGGTTTTTAAAAATCTGAATTCATGGTGCACCTCAAAGTTACACTATTTAGTAAAACTGTTACTAGCATTCTGAGTTCCAGGAACCGATGTTTAGCTAATAGGTCAACAAATTGTAGTGGTTCCTGGCCTCTGAACTGACAGTCCAGATAGGGGAGAGGAGTGGAAGGCACATGAACAGTGGACTGGAACTGGAGACTGCTGTATATATACTCTCTCTTGTATCTTTGGTTTTTGTGTTCTCTGCCTCCACCAAACTGGTTGACATACTTCCTGAACAGTCCAAGATACAGTTCAAAATCCTGACTTCTCTTTTGTCCCGGTCCTTCACTTTTGTCGTTCCTCCTTTGAACTTTTGAATTACTTGCTTCTTGCTCTTGCTATATAGCCTGCTTATGTTTATTTTTCCTTTTATGTATATGTTTCCTTTAGTCCACTAGGTCACTAGTTAAGATGGAAACTTTTTTTTTTTAATAAAGATTTTATTTATTTAGAGCGTCCATGAGCGGAGGGCTAGGGAGGCAGAGGGAGAGAGAGAGAGAGAGAGAGAGAGAGAGAGAGAGCGCTTCATGCAGGGCTCAATCCTAGGACCTTGAGATCATGACCTGAATTGCGATCAAGAGTCAGTTGCCTAACCAGCTGAGCTACCCAGGGGCCCCTAGGGTGGAAATTTTTCTTTTCTTTTCTTTTCTTTTCTCTTTTCTTTTCTTTTTTTTTTTTTTTCTTTTCTTTTCTTTTCTTTTCTTTTCTTTTCTTTTCTTTTCTTTTCTTTTCTTTTCTTTTCTTTCTTTCACTTGAGAGAGAGTGTGTGTATGTGTGTGTGTGCACGTAAGCAGGTGTGAGGGGCAGAGGGAGAGGTTCTTAAGCAGACTCCACTGAGCATGGAGCCAGATCCAGGGCTCAGTCTTGCGACCCTGAGATCATGACCTGAGTTGAAATCAAGAATCAGATGCTTAACCAATTGAGCCACCCAGACACCTGGAAATTTCTTAAATGTAGAGTAAGATATTTGGATTTCATCCTGAAAGCTTCATATTCTCTTTCAAAATTGAATACAACTGGCAGGGCCTGGTTGGTTGAGTTGGTGGAGCATGTGACTCTTGATCTCAGGGTTGTGAGTTTGAGTCTCATGTTGGGCATAGAGATTACTTAAAAAAAAGTTTCTTTTTTTTAAATTAAAAATCCAGGATGCCTGGGTGGCTCAGTGGTTGAGTGTCTGCTTTTGGCCTAGGTCGTGATCCTGGAGACCCAGGATCGAGTCCCACGTCGGACTCCCTGCATGGAGCCTGTTTCTCCCTCTGCATGTGTCTCTGCCTCTCTCTCTGTGTCTCTCATGAGTAAATAAATAAAATCTTTAAAAAAAATAAAAAATCTGCTTACCACCTAGCCTTTGTGTACCCACAGACTCAGGGAGTTTGCTCGTGTTCCTTCTTTTTTTTCTTTTTAAAGTTGCTTTCACTATTCTATTTCTTGGAATTCATTTCCCTCCAAGGCTGGCTGTGGTGTAGGAAGCAGTCCACCTGCTCCTTCTGGTTGTCCATGAAAATGAGCTATAAACCCTTTTCAAAGATTTAATTGTTGATTACCATGGAGAAAGAAGTGATGTCCAAAAAGTAGTGAACATGGTTACCTTATGAAGACTCAGAGTCCTTGGTCTTGAGCCCCCCTATGTCTAGAAACTTCTTGTGGAAGGTGCTTGGAGCTTGTCCAAGCTCATCAGGATAGGTTTGTGTTGGCTGCATTGCCAGATCTATAGATACTTTTTTTTCAAGCCTTGGGATGACTTGTTCAAAGTACTGTTTTGGAGCATGAATCTGAGTGTGGGAATCAGGAAGACCCTGCTGGGAAACTCAGGTTTAAGGAATAGTTTCTTAACCTGGGCTGATGGGGATGGGAACAGTAAAGAACGAATGAGTGTGTGTGACGCTACAGGGTAAGGTTGGAAAGGATCCTGACTCCCTTCCTGGGTTTAAATAATCACGCTATAGCTTTGAACCAGAGTGTGGAAACGTTGCTGTTATTATTGCAAATAAGGGGTGAGATTGTGGATTTGGAGTAAAAAAAATATGGTGATGTTAAGGTGGAGCTGTCTGGCAGTGACTCGAAATTTGGGGGCCCCGGCATAATCATCTTTGCTGCAGTGGGGCAGTGTCCTTCCTGATGTGCCCTGTGCTCTAGATCATGGTAAGTCCAAGATGCTGACGCTGTTCTTCAGCACCGGCATTATGATTTCTTTCTGCTAATTTCTACACGATGTGATCAATAGGCTTGCTGTTGGTGCTGGGCTCCAAAGTAAGTGATCCAGCAGATTAACATGGCGTTGAGTATGAAAGAATTTAGAGGCCGTATTCCAAGTGCTTGCTCTAAATATTAATTTCTGTGCATTTGCTAATGTAGCCCCAGCAATTCTTTGGTGAACTAGAACCCTTGGGTCCTTGAATTCTACTGCATTTGAGTACTGAAAGGTGATTTTGAGAAGATGTTAGGTTTCTTCCAGGGTACATTCTATACTAACAGTGTAATTCATTTTGGAAAATTTCCCCAAATCTCATATACTATGTTCACCTAAGATACTTTCTTCTTCTTTTTTTTTTTTTTAAAGATTTTATTTATTTATTCATGAAAGACACACAGAGAGAGACACAGGCAGAGACACAAGCAGAGGGAGAAGCAGGCTCCATGCAAGGAGCCTGATGTGGGACTCGATCCTGCGTCTCCAGGATCACACCCTGGGCTGCAGGTGGTGTAAACCGCTGCGCCACCAGGGCTGCCCCACCTAAGATACTTTCATGTCATAACTCGTCTTCTGTCT